GGGGCCCGCGGGGCCCCGGGGGTTTAGCCACTGGTGACGGAGACGGAGCGGGCACGGCGCTGCAGGCTCTGGATCACCTTGTTGGCATTGAGCAGCTGTGCCTTGAGGTCCTGGATGTGCTGGTGCAGGGCCCCCACGTCTGCTGGGGCTATGGCTTTCTGGGCAGCCTTGCCCACCCTGGGCCGGCATGGGGACCCCAGCTCCTCGCCCGTGCTGGGCTCGCTGAATACATCTGGCTCCTCACACTCTGCAGAGGGAACAGGACATGGTGTCACTTCTCCATGCCAGGTGGGCAAGGTACAGGGACCCCTGGAGCGCTGGCTCTCCTTACCAGGGCTGGTGGTCTCGTCCCGGTCAGCCTCAGTCTCACTTCGCCCACACGTCTCATAGCCCAGGTCCTGGAAATCCACCTGCACTTGCTTGCTGAGCTGCTGGGCATGGGGTTCACCTGCTGGGCAGCCCCATTGGCTCAGGGTCCCACTCCGGGCAGGATCCCCTGCGCCTTGTGCAGCACAGTGCACAGGGCACATCAGGATTGGCACAGAGCCCCCCCCTCCCGGCATCCCGCCTAGGATTTTCACTCACGGAGCAGGACATGGTACTTCTCCAGCTGCTCAGCTTGTGCCCGCACCGTGGCCTCCGAGGCGGTGAGCTTGTCCTGCAGCTCCTGGCACTGCCTTTGGCCCTGCACCACCTGTGAGTGCAGCTCTGTACCCATACCAGGCCAGGACCTTCCAGGGACTGTGCCCTCCACCTGCCAGAGGGGAGACGGGCTGTGAGCTCTCTATTTCCATCACCTTCTCATCACCATCCCCATCCCGGTCTCCTATGCCCAGGACACTTACATAGCTCCCATTCCCTCCACCTGGGGTGCCAGGGCAGGGTCTCTTAGGCATGTCATCCTGGGATCGTGCCTCCAGCGCTGGGCGTTTGGCAGGCACAGCTCCGCTCTCTGCCGGGACCCCCTGGCCATGCCCGCTGCTGCCAGCTGGGCAGTCCCCGAGGGCACTGCGGTTCTTCCTCTGCAGCCTGCGGGGCTCAGGGACCAGGGGGCTGTCTAGCCCAACCTCCTCCTGCTCCCCGTTCTCCAGCAGCAATGTGGCTTCGCCCATCCGCTCCTTCAGCTCTGCATTCTCCAGGCACAGGCTCAGCATCGCCTTCCTGGGGGCACAAGGCACGGTGAAGGGCGGGCAGCGGCCAGGATGCAGTGTACCCCCTCAAGCCGCTGCCAGCAGCTGGTTTCAGCATCTCAGGGCTCTTGCCTGATGTGGGAGACAGAGGAGAAGCCGGCTTCCTCCAGCTGCGCCTTCAGCTCCCGCAGCTCCTTTTCTGCCTGCAGCTCCCGCTCTGGCACGGCAGGTGCCGAGGTCCCCACGAGAGTCCTCTCAGTACCCCCACTTTCCGTAGGGGCCTGGGGGCTGATCTAGAGGGACAAAGACAGAGGGTGACAGGGACAATTCCAAAGGGGTTAAGACACGGTCTGGCAGTGGTGCAGAGCCCAATTCTGCCACCCCTGTTCCCAGTGCCGCGCTGCCCTGACTCACGTGCCGGGTTGCCACGCCGTGGGCTGCCTCCTCCTTGACGCTGTTGGTGAAGTTGGTGCTGGCATCATCAGCATCTGTGCCTGTGGCCTGACCTAGGGGACAGCACAGCACAGCAAGGCCCTCAGAGCAGTGGCAATGGCCTCTGTCCCCTCCTCCCTGGTGATGCTGGTGGCCCCTGTGGGCAGCCCCGGGGTCAGGTGCTTTCATACGTGCCTGGTGCTGGGGCACTCCCAGCAGGACTGAGGTCTCCCCGCTGTCCCTGTGCCCTGCCACCCCCTCTCTGCATGCTGGAGTGCCAACCTCTGCTGGCCCTGCACCGAGGGAGGGGACAGCCCTAGCTGCCCACAGCCCCAGGGACAGCATCCCAGCAACGGCACCTGCCCCATCCACATCTCAGCCTCATGCTTGCTGCCCCAACACACACGCATGCATGCATGCGCCCACCCTGCAGCCGCTTCACAAGGCGCAGCCAGCAGCAGCAGCACGTGCTCGGTCAGGGAGCCTCGCTGGCGCTACCCCAAGTGGGCAGGAGCACCGGGGTTCACCCCACATGATCGCCTGCCCAGGCAGGGGCAGCTCGGGGGGTGTCCACCCTGCGCACACCACCCAAGCCCTGCTGTCACACATGGCGCTGGGCTCTTTGCAAGCCCTGTGCTGGCCTTGCAGAGTGCAGCAGAGCTAAAGGGACACTCGTGTCCCATACCACAGCGCACAGGGGGCTTGGGCCCACCCTGCCTCGCAGAGCTGAGCCGGGGGCACACTTTTGTACTTGCACCCAGCTCTGCTCCTGGCCCCTTGGTGCAAAGCCCCAGGGAGGGCTTGCACTCCTTGCCTGGGCAGCTTTCCTCCCACCCAGCTGCAGGGCCCTGCCTGCTCCGCTTAGGCGCAGACTGCCTGGGCTGGGACATGGGTGCACACCTCATGCCTCTTCTCCCCAGGGAGAAGGGAGCTTGAACAGGGCCCAAAACCGTCCCCTGGGGCTGTGCAGGGCCAGGTTTTGCAGCTGCCTGTGCCCCGCAGGGGATGCAGTTGCTTTGCCCGTGGCCAGACCCATCAGCATCAGGTCTGGAGCTGAACACGGAGCAGGGGAACGCAGAGAAATCCTGGCAGGAGAGAGGCCAGACATCACTGGTGAAGAAGCCAGCAGGGAAGCACACGGCTCCAGGGAGGAAGAGCCAAGGACCAGCCGGGAGCATGCCCTGCAGCAAGGGCAGGCAGTTGCACAGCACACTGCACATAGACAGCGGCACACTCAGGAGACCCACTCGTGACAAGCAACTGCCAGGAGGTTGCAAAAATCAGGGTCACCTCACTGCCGAGCCTGGGCAGACATCACCCTGCGTGGTGGAGCCTGTTCAGCAAAGCAGCCATGCCCCAGGTGGCAAGGACAGCTGTCGTGGAGCTGTTCCGGGAGCAAGAGGCAGCTGGAAGGGGCAGCAGCACCCCAGTGAAGAAGCAGCTCCCAGAGGTGGCAGTCAGCACAGCCAAAGCACAGCCCTGTGAGCCGCTGGGGCCACAACCTGCCGGGTGACAAACCATCTAGGGCTACAGCTCAACGCCTGCAGGGCCCCGCAGGGTGAGGGGATGCAGACCCTCAGCTTCAGGCTTTGCTGGGGGGCCGAGGGCCACGTACATGGATCTCAAGCCGCGTCACTGGGACTGAGAGGCCAGGGCAGGGTGGCTCACAGCCAGCACAGCTGCTCCGGGGACAGGGTAGAAGCACCTCTTGTGCCAGGACACAACACCCCACTGCTCACTATTGCCCACAGCTCTGCACAGCTTCCAGTGCTCCAGGACTGGGGCAGATTCAGGGAGGGGAAAAAAAAAAAAAACACAAACCCACAAAACAAACAGGGGAAGACAAAGCTGGTGCTGGAGGACCAGAGAAGTGTGCACACAGGTGTGCACAGAGACTGTGCCCAGGCTGCTCTTCACCAAGTGCTTGAACCCTCCATCACAGCAGGAGCAGACCAGGGTGCGAATTCAAAGGGACGAGGATTGCTCAGCTCTCTGTATTACCAGCAAAGCAGACAAGAAATGCAATCCCAGCACTATTTTTCTCAGACTCCTCTTGTCTTTCACACCTAGCCTGAAGGCAAAGGGAGTTAGTCGCATGGCTTGGAAACTGCACATGGTCCATGGGCACAGGACACCCAAGTGCACTGGCTGTGCTAGAAGTCTTCACGCTGCTGGGAACAAGGGAAGGGAAATAAGGTCCCCAGGGAAATGGAGAGGGGCAGTAGAGACCTCCACAAAGAGCTACGAGACGGCACAAAGCACTGCACAGTTTGACAGAGGGTGCTCTCAGACGTGGGATGCTGAGGCCGGTCCTCCCACAGGGCAGAGGACTCCACGGCCAGCGATATCAGGGCTGAAAGGAGGCCCTAAAGAACAGAGCGGAAAAGTTAGGACACCTCAGCCTAGGATAACGCTCCCCTACTTTACAGCAGTGCTGCTAGCAAAGGCCAGGGACAGATCAGAGCCAGGATGGAGGAGGGAAGGCGGAAAGATAAGGACAGGGACACAAAGGCTCCTACAAAGTGAGAGGCAGAAGGAGAAAGAGAACATGGTTGCTACACAGAGAAGTGAGAGGAAGGGAATGAGATGAAAGACAAGAAAGGAAAAGCTAACCCAGTACCAGAGCTGCGCAGCAGCCACCATGTGCGTCCCTTCAGGCCGCATGGGAACTGCCCAACTCACCACCAGACCCAGCGGAGCGGTGCTGACGTGCTGCGTGCGAAGGGACAGCTGTGCTGCCTGCCGTCCCCGTCTGAGGCAGGGAAGAGAAGACCTCAGCAAGGGGGCAAGGCACGGACAGGCGGTGCCATGTGAAGCAGGCCCAAGGAGATGCACAGCAGAGCAGTCACAGGCCCAGGTGGTGCAGCCCAGCGAGATGGAGCTCTTCTGCTCCACCTGCTCCCAGCTCAGCTTCCCCAGCAAGCAGAAACAGATGCTGAGGTACAAAATTTGCTCCTGCCACCTTGGGAAGCGATCGAGTACGAGAGCTGATCCATAGGCCGCTGCGCATGGGAAGCGCTGGTCATTGGAAAGCTGTCGCTATTATTTATCAGCTCTCATGCCAGCCCCAACGCTCCCAGAGGAGGTGAAAGATGCCCTAGAAAAGGTATGCAGGGGTGCCAGGAGGGGCTGTCCCCAGCAAAGCAGAAATAGGGCCTTACCCACTGCCTGAGGGGCGTGTGGAGCCTGCCAGATGTGCGCATGCACGTGAGGGAGCAGAGCCCAGACCCTGAGAGCAACAACAGGTCTCAGTCACCCCAAACCCTCTGTCAAAAAGAGGAGGAAGCTCTCCCATGAAGGCAGTCACAAGCTAGGCTGAGACAACTTAGAATTAGGGAAACAACAAAAAAAAAAAGTCAGTAAAATCACCAATACTGGAGTAGGATTTGGTTTAAGCATAAAATGAATCGTTTGTTCTACACTCAAGACTTGGGCAAGAGCCCCAGGGAAGTGCCACCAGGTCTTGCGGCCTCTCTCAAATTCTCTGCTCTGGAACCCACTTTTGCATATACACCTTCTCCTTTTGGGCCAGCCACCATCAACCCAAAAGGGGGATGTCACCGGGTAAGAAAAACGGTGAGGGAATACAAAAACTCACACTCATGCACTTGGGAGATGATAGAGAACATTTGGTGTTTCCTTCAGAGAAAGGGAATCTTTATTTGGCCCATGGGGATGGGAGGAGAAGGGAGAGAGAGGGAAATCAACTAAAATGGAATGATTTGAATGTGCAAATACATCAGTGGCCACCAGGGTGGGTCAGACAGGAACATACACGAGACACAGGTGGATTGCACTGATCGCCGTTTCCGAAGCAGCTCAAAAATAAAACAAAAAGAGCCCTGCACCAGTTCTATTGTACCGTTACTAAGTACCACAGCAACCCTCCCAGAGTCAGTGAGACAGGCTCGCTCAGTTAGTGAACCGTTTCCGTGGCAGGCGGGCGAGCACCAGTGCTCAGAAGGCATGCTGGGGTAGGACTCTCACACGCTCCTGTTCCCCACCTCCTATGGTGCCCTGCGTCTCCAGCCTGCTCAAACGCTCCAAGCTTCTTCCAAGAGCTTCTTCCAGCTGTCCCCGGAGCTCGTGGACCCCCTCCAGCTCCACCTGCAGCGCGTGGTCTCTCGCAGCGCTAGGCGGGCACGCCGCACGGAAGGGAAGAGGGTTAGACAGGTTGCAGCAAGCACACACCAGGATGGCTTCTCCATCCAGGACTGCCATGCCAGGCACGGGCGCTGCACGCTCCCCAGGCAGCTCGGCCACCTCTTGCCTCACCTCTAAGCCTCCCCGGAGCACAGTCATCCCCAAAAAAGGCTCCAGCCCAGGGCAGGGGACTCCTAGTCACAGCTGTTCTTCAGTACTTACCCAAGCACTCCACTTATGTGCTCTCTTGCTATCAGGTAGCTCAAATGTCCCAGGGGCTGCAAGCCCCTGAAGGGCAGGGGATTAGTGCAGAGGACAGAGGAGCCAGGCCATGCTGCGCTGCGGGACAACCGCCCGGATAAGCACCTAGATAGATCCTTATCAACCCAACAGTTGGTTGGGAATCTGACAGCAGCCTCTGAAAGGTGGCCAAGCGTGGGTGGGAAACCGAGCCGGGAAGAGATCAGCCAGGGAACAGAGATGGAACTCTCAGGGCCTGAATAAGAAGTGGCAACGGGGGGAGTTTACGTAGCATTTAGAGCTGGCCACTGCAGCCTCTTCGAGGGAAGAGGGCAGCCTAAAACTTGGGATTCCCAAAACCGCATTTCTCCAATTCTTTTCCTTGACTCCCTCTTTCCCACTGAGGGCCCTCAGACTTGCAGAACGATCACTGCTTCAAGGATTGCCCCACTGGACCACCCACGCTTGCCCCAGTGGCGGAGCAGGGCAGCCCGGAGCCAAGGCAGCCTCGCTTACCTGTCTGGGTGCGTATGAAACTTTACCAGGCTGCCGTAGAGCTGCCTCTCTGCCTGGAGAGCTTCGTTTAACCGATTCCTTTCAGCCACCAGCCCTTCCAGCATCAGTAACAACTGGTTGGAGAGAAGAGATAAGACAACACACTTAAAAAAAAAAAAGACAGAAATACAAAGGAGACACTTGGCTGCCCCAGAGAAACAGGGACTTCCCCTTCCTCTCTTGCTTGTGTCCAAGTGATCAAGTTGATCAGTGTCACCCCTGGACTCCCTAAAGACTCTGCCCTTCAGACAAGTGCTGAAGGGAACCAACCCTTTCCTCTGTGTTCCCCCTGCCATACACAGCCAGCTTCCAAGAACAAGCACACTTCAGCATACCCAAAGACTGAAAACAAAGGCTCCTAACTGAGCACCAGCAGAAATAAAACACAGCCAAGCTTGCCCCACACAGCACACTACCTGCTGCCTTCTGTTTCCAGTAGCCTCCTGTCCTCGTGACTCCTCTACGGCCGCTTTCTCCCGAAGCGCCAGCACTTCTTGTGTCAGCCTTTCCACGGCTGGAATTTCTTCGGGATCCACCAGCTGCATTTGCAGATCCTGAAAACCAACAGCAGGAGAGCTCAGTGAAGAAGGGATCAGCAACAAGGACAGCTGGACCTTCATAATCCTCCCTGGAATGAAACTGCCAAAAGTTTCCAGTGTTTGGAAAGACCCAGGTCTCCTAAGAAAAAGACACCAAAGCACCCAGAGTGTATTAGGCACAGGCAGCAGCCTGGAGCAAGAACTGAGAAGGGACAGAACGCACTCTGTTTAAAGGACTCTCAAAGAAGGGTGTTTGGTACAAGAGGAGCAAAAAAAAACCAAATAACAACAACCGGGGGGTTTGGAGCCTTTGCCTTCTGGCCAAAGTAACACAGAGGGCTGTAGGCAAACCAGCAGCAATACCATCCATGGACAGCCAGCTGCATTACTCTGAGCATGTGGGGAAAGAAGAGGCTCCTCCACAGCTTTCCCAGGCAGAACTGCCCCAGCATAGCATGTTACCTCACCTTGATGAGGTCATCCTTGATCTGGATGGTCCTGGTCAAGGACTCTATATCCGAGGCCTGCACCTGCAGCTCTTCCTCCTGCGCGGCCACGACAGACTGGAGAGCAGTGAGCTCCCGCTAGGGAGGGAAGAGAAGTTCGTGAGAGGCTTCAGAAACCTAACACCCCACTGCAAGCTGCTGCCCCAGTTCTCTCACTGGGGGTACCCTCCAACAGGTGGGTCCAAAAGCTCCAGTGAGGGGCAACCCAATGGTTTCCTGTAAGCAAGGGAGATCAACACAGGCTCCTTCACAAGCTCACCCTGCTTTCCCTTTCTTTCTTTGCCATTAGCTCCAGCTCCTCTTTGGCATCAACAAGATCCTTCTCCAGTTCCGCTGCTGACATCGTAACTGCAAAGACAGCTTAGTTACTGCAGGGATACTGCGTGTCAACTCTGACCCCAGGATCTGACAGAATCCCCCTTTGCCAAGGTCGGTCCACAACGCTTGCGCTCTCCATCACACTGCCTCTTAGTAAACATTCTTCTTCCCTGCTTGGCCCTTAAACCACAACCCAAAGCGACAGCAAAATCCCAGGCCTGCTGTCCCACCCCTGGCAAAGTTCAGGCACCCAGGCCCCAAGGCAAAACCCAAACCAGTTGCACTTTTCCAGCCCAGCCTGAACCATAAAGTCAAAACCCCTCCGCTGGACAGCATCAGCTCTTGATTAGAAGCACCTCAACAAACCCAACACCAGCCTTTCTCTTTCCCATACGCCCATCCCCAGCCATCCTTGAACCATCACCCAAAGGAGAGGCCCAGCTTTATTTTGAAATAACTCACTCTTGCTCAAAGCTCTTCACTCTCTCAGTTTCATGTAACCATGTTTCCCCCACAGTAAAAAGCCCTGGTTGTGTTTGGGGACCTTGAAAGCAGCTGTCACCACACTCACCTCCCTCTGTCCTGCAGCCGCTGTCCCCTTGTGAGGGTCCGGCAATGGCTGTGGCTCCACAAGCTCTTTGCACTATTTCCTGAAAACACAAAAGCCTCCAGGTCTGCACCTTTACGGGGAACCTAGCACTTGCAGCTTCCCCAGAGCTCCAGGATTGCTGCAAAGCTGCTGGCTGCTCTGTTAACACCTCTGAAATGTGACAAACCAACGAAGGGGACCAAGCCAGGCAGCAGGGACAAGTGAATTGCACCCTACCTAGAAGCTGTATATGTGGGCAACAGGATGCTGGCCTTGTTCTGTTTGGCACTGGGAGGTTGCTGGCAGTGAGTGTCTTCGTAGTAAGGATTAAACAGGTTTCACTTAACTGCAGCAAGCCCATCTTTCAACTGAGACTCTACAAAGAGCTACACTTATCCAAGGATGCGGCCTGGAGGGATCATGCAGGAAGCAAAACACAGAGCTTGGCCCATATACACATCCCTGGCAGCCTCTAGAGCTCACTTTGATCCTGGGAACAGAAACAAGCAACCTGTTTACAGCTGCTTAAAAACGTTCAACATGTCAGCTCACCAATAAACCATTAACAGCTGCTCAAGAAGGAGCATGGCATATGCAGCCTTGGAGCTGTGTGCAGCCTCAAAGGGGCTTTTAGCAAAGCTGCTTTAAAAATACCAACTCCAATTGTGGAAGAGACAGCAAACAGCCAGCAGGCTCTGCCAAGAATTAGTGGGACCTAAAATTAGCTCTCTTGTCCCCTCTAGAATGTGACAATGTCAGGGAGGGGATTACAATACAGCGAGGCAGCCCAGCCCAAGGAAGGACTGGGTCAATGCTGGAAGGTCAGAGGGCGGATTTCTTTCATACTCTCACGTGCCCTAAGGACTCAAATACTGCCTGATCAAAACAAAAGGAGACACTGAGTGACAAAGGCTGGTGGAATCAAGATCAGAACATCCAGGCAGCATTTCTGCTCCTCAGTTTCTTCTCTTCCTCCTATAGGATGCCTCTTCCCTAATCTCACTTTCATTTCTGTCATTCTCTGTGGTGCTCCTCTCTTTCCCATTTGCTTCTGTGGCAATCGGTTCTCTCTGGAGCCCCAAGGCCACAGGCAGAGAAACAGTACACGATTCTTACTTGTGTGGCCTGTTTGTCCTGCTTCAACAGCCAGCCACTAGCCGACTGGGTCCCGACAGGCTCCTTCCCCAACACATGCTGCCGCAGGAGTTGTAACTCGCAGCTCCTTTCAGCCAAAGCGTGTGCCATCTTCTCAGCAGCCACCTGATTGAGCAGGAAAAATAAGGGAAGACAGGGCTGTGACCCAGGGTAGGATCCCTGTCCCTCACCGTCCTTAGAGACTAAGGGAAGCCATCTCAATATCTAGCTGTCACTTGAGACTAGAAGTGCTCTGCAAACCAGCCTGGGAGCTACTGCTCCTGGCCACTCACAGCGACTCTGCTGCAGCCCTCCCATCTCCACCTGCTACAGAGCTACAGCAAGGCTTGGCCTCTCTACCAACAGAGGAACACGCTTCTCAGTTTCTCTCACCCCATTCAGGCAGGGAGAAAGACAGAGGACAGACAACGAGGAGGAGGCAGCACGTAGCCTTTTGGCCTCCTTTTTATGAAAAGAAAGTGGATGCAAAGTATCTTGGGTAACACCAAACTGCACCCAGTGTGCAAGAGTAGGAACTGTGGCTCTTCAAGTGGCATTTACATGCCCAGGACCATGCACTAGTTTGACTAACATGTAAGTTAAGAGGCAATGAGCAGAGCTTCCTCAGACTTCTGTGCTACACAAGAAACAGCTCAGAGTCTTCCTTTCTGGTCTCATAACACCCATGTGAAGTAGGACCCTCTCACAGCCCCTCTGCTGCCTCAAGCCCAGGAGCATGGATATTTAGGAGGATCTCACCTCCTTCCCCACCAGACACAGAAACCCTGCCCAGTCCACTTCATGACAGGGACCTGACACCCGAACACTGCTACAAGAGCTGCTGCTTCATAACTGGTCCCACATGATGGGTTGAGACCAACCGAGAAACGGTTCATGGCATCTCACATGGTTCTTCAACACTCAGCTGCTCCTCCAGGCTCCACCAACAGCAGCCAGAGAGCAGCTTCTATTTGCTTAATGCAAGGCAGAGACACCCACCCCAGCCTCCCCAGTGCGGCGCTGCGCACAACTCACTCTGCTCTGCTGCTCCTTGGTGCTCATGGCCTGCAGCAGCTCCCGGATTTCAGCATCATGCTCCATGGTCTGACGGTTCCTGTCGCTGAGGAGATCCTGCAGCATTTTCTCCTTGTGCTGGAGGCGCAAGCACAGCTCCTCTGCTACCTCACTCTGTCCTGGGCCCAGCTTGCACAGCAGAGTTGCTGTTAGCTCCTGAACAAAGGGGAGGAAGGGAGAGATGGAGTGACATTGCTACCATCAAACTGCAAGCTGTTCAAGGACAAACAGCTCTTCAGCCTGCGTGTAGCTGAGAGAGCAGCATCCCAGCAAGCACAGGTATTTACAGGTGTCAAAAGCAGCCAGTTTCCAAAGCACTGGGCACTGGTTCCAGTGCCCTCAGAGACAGGCAGCCAGGAGGCTCTGGTTTGGGACCACCCTCTCTGCAGACAAACCGGCTGAATGCTCAGGAAGCCAAGCTAAGGCCTTACCTCCACTTCCTTGTTCCTGTCATGCAGACAGGTCTGCAGCTGCTGGATGATCCCCTCCTGCTCCTTCTGCCTGCTGCAGGATTTGGCCTCAATCTCCTCCTTGAGCCAACGGAGGTTTTGGCAGGTTGCTGAGACCTGCTCTAGTTCCAGGGTTTTAGCTTTCAGGAGGCTCTCCAGGCTCTGGGGACCATAACAGAAGCAGCTCAACCAGAGACAAAGACTTATCTTAAACTAAGCAGAACTGGAAATATCAGTCTCTCCTGCTGGTGCAGTCACAAAGATTCACCCCTGTCCTCTCCAGACACCACACTCACTTCTACACCCAGCCCAGAAACACGAGCGACCCAGGAACCTGCCCCGCACACAGGGCCGGAGGAAGGCCAACACCCTGCAGCTGCTCTCCCCAGCAACAACCAGAGCATTCACAGGAAGGTTTGCCCAGCACCACGCCACAGCCAGGCTGGACTCCGCAGGCCCGGGTACAAGCACTCACATGAATCGTGGTCTCATTGCTGGACAGGACATCGCGCAGTCTCTCCAGGTCACTTCCACGCTCCCTTATTGAGAGACGGAGCTGGTGCAGTTCTTGCTCCTTCTTCTCCAGGGCACCGAATTTCTCATCTACTGCTCGCTAGGGTGAGAGGGGGTGATCAGTCAGAATGGGGTAGTAGGGCTCTGCAGCTCACCACTCACTGCATGGGGTACCTCAGCTCTCCCTTTCAGAGGACTCCTCTGGAAGGCTGAACCGTGAAGAGCACGCAGAAGACACAGTCATCCCTTGGGTCAGCCTGGGGCTGCACTGCTGATGGTAGCCCGAAGGCTGAGCCTCAAGGAAAACTGAGACATCCCCAACAGACTGTGCTCACCTCCAGAGCAGCATCCCTGTCACTGACTCGCTGCTGCAGCTTCTCCAACATGGCATTCATGGCTGCAGGGCTCTTCTCCAAGCTTTGCTGACATCGCAGAAGCTCCCTCGATTCCTAGAGATCACATACACACACACTCCCCTAGTACAACTGTCAGTCCAGAAACCCATCAGAGAGCAGCAAAGGAGAATCAGGGCTGACTACCTCCAGCCTACACTTGCTCTGTCCCCTCACATTAGAGGGTGGTAGAGTCCCAGCACCTGGGGCTGGTTGACTAGCCCCTGCCAGGGCTCACCAGGCATTGCTGTGGGCTGAGGTGCTCAGATACCTGTGCCTTCTGCCTCATCTTGGGAGCCCAGAAGCATCTCTTTCCTTCCCTTCTTCAAAGTGCACACGTGAAAGCTACAGACTGACTTTTGCATTGGCAAATATCAAAGGAGGAGCAGGGGCCCTGGCTAGTTATGCTCAACTTGAATCTTTCTGCATCTCACCTGCAGAAGCTGTTCCTTGCGAGCGAGATGCTGACTCAAACACTGAACTCTTTGCTCCTGGGCCTGCAGCTCACGGCATTTCTCCCACTCCACAGTCTGGAGCTGCTGAGCCCTGTCCTGCAGCTCTGCCTGCAGCTGCTGTACCACAGCACGCAGCTCCTGCGAGGGAAAAGGACATACCTTGTCAGTTAGTCCTCAACAGACCTGTAAAGAGCAGGCCAATCTGAAGAAGCCAAGAGAAACAAGGGCTGTGGGAACAGCCAAAAATTCTCTGCAATATTACAGCTTTCACATCTCAAAACACACTTCCATGGTGATGAAGTCTGAACCTATTTCATTTCCCAGGGCATCCACCCATCTAAACCCCTTGCTTCGAGCACAGGCAGAGCGTTACGGCCAATCACAGCCAACCTGTGCAGCAGTGGACATTAACTGTGTCACATCACAAAAAGAGATGGGACATTTGCGCCAGCCAGACATCCAAGTGACAACACACCCGCTATCAAGTGCCTCTGCTGATTCTAAATCCTCGGTTAGGAAGCTAGGAAGGTTGGAGAATTCTCCCTGCCACATGTGACAAGGGGTTAGCCAAGTGTGCCCAGACTGGTGTAGGCAGAAATGATGAACAAGAGCAGAGTACTGACTACACCAGTGCTGCTTAAGTCATGAAAACCCAGAGACTTCCAGGTTAAGAGCTTGTCATACCTGGTTGTGTTTCCAGGTTGCCTCTTTCTGCTGCTCTTCCTCGTGCATCATGGTCTCTAGGAGCTGGGTTGCTCTCCTGGCTTCGGCCAGTTGATGCTCTTTCTGGCGCTGAGCTCTTTTCAGTTTCTGCACCTCCAGCTTGGTGCAGAAAAGCGTGTTCTGAAGATCTAGCAGTGACATTTGCTGCTCCTGGGATGACAGCGGGCTCTCTGACACCTGACAAGAGCGGGAAGCAGAGAAACTCAAAGATTCACTTCACGAGAGGGATTTAAAAATCATAATCCCTGATGAACAAAACCCGATGTATTTGAGGCTTTCCAGGGACATACCTGCAACTGTCCCAGATGGCTTCTGTGTAACATGTCCCGCAGCTTGGCCATTGTCTCATTCTGGCCTTCGATGATACGGTACAGCTCTTCTGTCTACGAGTCAAACAACAGGAAGCCCAGTCACTGGCAAACGAAGCACAAAACCCTCCTGTCCCAAGCCTCCAGCATGGATTATGACACATCAGCATCGCGTGAAAGTAAGAGTTCGCAAGAAAGAATTTAATGAGATCCAGGATGCCTAGAAATGGATTAAACATTCCTTTTCCATCACTGCCTACAGGGCTAGCACACTTCCCTCTTTTGGTGAGCACCACCCTGTCCACCCAAACCTATTACCTTACTCTCTTTGCTCTTCAGGGCCTCATTCAGACTCTGGATTGTACGATCTTGCCTCTGCGATGTTTCTTGGGCAGATTTTAATTCAAAATTCAATTCATTTAGCTTTTCCTGTAACAGCTGAAAACAGAAATATGGGTGGTTTTGTAATCCTGCCTAATGCTCTACATAAACACCCTTAGGACTCTCTCCACTCCTTACTCAAATCCACACAGCCCAGGCGTTCACCAGATCAAGATCAACGTGGCTCCCCCTAGAGTCTGTAAATACTGCCTGAGCTGGGTGGAGACAGGGGAGTAAACACAAAGCCTTCAGTCCCTCCAGCCGACTGTTCCAGTGCTTCTGGTACCTCCAATGCAGCCCCGACATGCAGGGCGGAGGTTCCAGGCTTGGGTTCACATATCATACTGCCTCCCACATACTCCAGGAGAGTTGTGCTCAGACTGCCCAGCAGCCTTCTCCATGTCTACCATTTGTTTCTGTTCCCTTAAGAGGAAAGGGGCTGCTTCAGCCCAGAAACCTCCCAAGAGATCTGAAAAAGGAAATCAACACGGAGAAGCCACCCATTCTAAAAATTGTCCCCTTTGCTTCTGAGGTCCTCCAGAGCATTGCAGCTGCACCTTTACAATCTTCCAGCCCCTTCTCTTACTGTCTCCTTCGACCACTCAGGCACTCTTGCAGCAACTGCTGGTCTATACGGCTTACTTAGCCTCAAGTTCTGGCTTCAGCACAACAGAGTCTAGCCAGTGCCAGCACGCCAACACCATGCTGCAAAGCAAAGGGGAACATCTCGCTAGTCTCCGCAGCTGGTTTACAACCTGAGAAACTTTTCCCTTTGACATTTTCACCCTAAAGAGACTACCATCTCAAAGAGTTTTAGGACAGTTCTATGCTTTCACATGGTGTGCATTTAAGCGACTGCTTGTTAGCATTTCTAAACACGCTGCCCGCTGGCATTCTTAGTCTTGGACAATACGCATCTTCCTCAGAACTTACTCAAGCCTCAATTTCTTAAGGAGTTGGTGCTGCCACATGATTTCCTCTTGTTGCTCGTTAGTTTACACACCTGCCATGTTATCTCTTCTCTAAGAGACACTCCCTCCTAACCTGGTTAAACACTTCCAACTGCATTTACTGGGTCTTGGGCCTCTTTATTTTCCTGTCAACGTTTGTGATCCAGGCAGCTCCAACAGCTTACAGCCATTCCCAGACTTAAAGATCCCACTCTGATGTTTTTTCCCATTTAACCCCTCTGTTTTCCCAGTGGATATAATCTACCTTAAAGCTCAAGAGCATAACTAAGAATGCTTACATTAACACCCCTTGCAATATGTGTTAAATTTGATCTGCCTCAAGGCAACTCAGATGCATGTTTCTTTCCTAAGAATGCCTTTAACTCAAAATGAAAACAGGACCCCTTCTGCGCTGATCTCCCTTACTGCTTGAAAAAAGAAGGCAGCTGTCTCAAAAAGCAGGTGCCCTTCTCTCCTGCACCAGGCTCAGCCTGTGCAAATCCAAGAGACAGGGAAATAGCCCTGTGCATCTCTCCTTCACCAGCTCCTGGAAGGCTCACTAGGCAGGTGGGAAGTTCTTCCAAAACAATGGCTTGCAAAAATAAATATGGAAAATTTACACAGCCCAACTGCAGAAAAAAAGTAAATGCTTTTAACTCAAGTTGGCAGGCAACAGCACTGAGAATCATGCATCAGCACACACCTTTGCTGGAACAGAGGTACAGACGCCTGCCTCTGGCCAGGCTAGGAGGCACCCCTCAATACTAACTCCATCAGACTCATTAGGCATTGCATTTGCTGTTCATGAAGAAATACCTTGTTGGCAGCTTCAAACTGCTGGATTTTGACCTGCAGCTCTGCAGCATGCAGATTGGTCATGTGCTCCCCCTCTGCAGGGTCACCTGGAGCCGGCTGCTGACGTTCATCCTGCA